TGTAGAAGCGCGCGGTGATGGCGTCATCTCCCACGTACTTGGTATAGTCGCCCAACCGCCCGAGCCAATTTATCTCCTCGATGGATCCGTCATCGAATGTGACACTCAGTGGTCCTGTTGGTGGCTGGAATAGTAGCAAATTCCTGTCGACGGCAGAACTAACGAAGAAGTGGTTATTGAGCCTCTGGAGAAGACCCTGGTAGATCCCCAAGTAAGGTCCACTCTCGGATACCGCATCCTGCATCCATTGGAGGACAGGCTTGCCGTCAACTTCAACAATGACATCGCCTTCCTTATGGGCAGTTACAGGTTTACCATAGACGCCGGGGTAATACATCTCGTTGAGATTCGGGAAGCCGAGAGTTACGACCTGGGCTCCGTCACGCATATACGAATCGAAGCGAATTGGAAGCACGAAGTAGAAGTCCCTGTATGGCGTATCATAGCGAGTATGAGCGTCGTTCAAGCGGCTCAACTGACGCTGTAGAGCGAAGTGAAAAGGGGCCGCTGGGATGCTCTCACCGAAGAACCTCTGCCTTTCCTCCAAAGTCATTGGGTCCAGCGCGGCGGCATACTCACTTATCCTGTCATCAATGAAACTCTCGATGTCAACGTCAAGAGAATGCAGCTTGAAGTTGCAGGTGTTGACTTCCACGGAGTCGTCCAAGCCGTTAGCGATGTCAGTGAAGGCGTAGGTCTCAGCCAGGCCGTACTTGAGGTTGTGGAGAGTGAAGAGGGCATCGAAGTTGGTGATGGTGAGATTATTGAGGCATCGGGTCACGTCCTCGGCTCGTCCCCATATGAAGTCCTTCATAGTATCGTCTGCTAGCGTCTGTCGAATAGTCCGTCCTCTGGCTGGGTTCAGAGGGGCGCAGTCGTCAACAACAGGGATCGAAGATGTGGGTATGACAGATCTGTTCGCAGGACCGCAGGGGATGGGTGGCTCACTTCCGTGACACACGACACCTTCCCCAAACTTGTAGTACATGCAGTGGGTGATCTGGCCAGGCCATTACATCGCGGCATGC